TGCCAGTAATGCCGGGGTGAGATGGTATCTCATTGTGGTTTTAATTTGCATTTCTCTAATGGCTAGTGATCGCAAGCATTTCCTCATGTGTCTGTTGACCATTTGAATGTCTTCTTTGGTGAAGTGTCTGTTCCATTTCCTTTGCCCATTTTTTAATAGGATTATTTGTCTTTTTGTTGTAGAGGTGTTGGATTTTCTTGTAAATTATGGAGATTAGTTAAATGCAATTTTGACAGATAAACCGTGCACTTTTTGAATCAACATAACAAATATTCATTAAATGCCACTTAGTCAGAAGGTACTTCCTGCATATTATGTTGCATAAAGGTCGTACTATAATTCTTTGTCTACACTTTAGCACTGAGTATTGAGATTTGTATTGGTTCATATTTTTATCACTGGAGATTACCACTTTAAAGGGACTTTCCTCAAGCTGGAGTTTATGTAATTCTAAAGACTTTCCAAGAAGTACATGGGCATGGATGCTTTTTAAGGTATAAACATCCAGATCCTCAATCTCCAAATACATTCTTTCCTAAAACTGATCTTTCTGGTAATCACGAGCCCTTATGGTGGGGTGACATGTTGGTTCTCCTTTCCCATACTCTCTTGCACAATCTTCCTTCTCCCACTGAGCCAAAAAAGGCCTATGTTTCTTCCATCCTGAATCTCTCCTTATGCACTGCCTAGGGTATAAAAAAGGAGCCCTGGTGGTGCAACACTTAAGTGCTCAGCAGCTAACGAAAAGGTTGGCAGTTCGAACCCACCCAGCAGCTCCCCGGAAAAGACCTGGCAATCTGCTTCTGTAAAGATTTACAGCCTAGGAAACCCTATGGCACAGTTGTAGTCTGTCACGTGGGGTAGCTATGAGTTGAAAATTGACTCAACAGTACCCAACAACAACAACAACAGGGTATAAAAGCCTCCAGGTGGCGCCAGCAGGATGCTCTCTGGTTTTTCCCTACCTTACGCATATTTTTGGCCTGACACTCAAAGAAGTTCAAAGAACTAAGTGATACTGCCAAAACAAAACCCCTTAGATTCTCATCTACTTATTTATGGCATCAGTATTTCTCAAGTATATATCTGCTTTTAAAATTCAGAATGAAATTTAAGCTGAGCCCTATTGAATTCTAGCTATAAGTACATTCATCCATGGATCCATGAACTACTTAGGGGAGAGGGAAGGACAATCCATCCATATTATTAGAAAGGTTATCTCCAACTGTTATTATGTTTAATAATTATAAAAATGTATAATATATTTATATTGTTTTCATCACCTACACGCTTACAATAATTATCATAACAACTCAATCCAGAGAAAACATTTACCTTTGAAAGCCTAATGGTATCTGAAGGAGCTTCTGATAAATCAAGATGTGTACGCACAATGCTATATTCCCAACTGTTAATGAAGAGCTTGTTCAAGCCTTGTTAAGTGGATAATGGTAGGTATTTAGATTCTACCGGGTAAAAAAGAGTGATACTATATTTACTTATTTCAATATTTACAACACAACAGATATATTATCCTTGTCTTAGTTTATCTAGTGCTGCTATAACAGAAATACCACAAGTG